CCACTCTTTAGAGATGTGTGCAACACAGGCTGAGGGCAAGGGGGCGTCTCAGGAGGGCCTCGAGGGACAACCCAGTAGAACTCAGGCTTGAGCCGGGAGAAGATGCTGCACTTTAAAGCTGGCAAGTCCTGGGACCAGCAGTTGGCATAATGGCTATGTCGCTGGACTCCCATGTAGTCAACCGCGGTTTGAGTCTCAGACCTGGTGGCTTAAACTCACGCCGGGCGCATGTGTGTGCATGCCCAAGATCCCGAGAGGAGAATGGAGGAGAAGGGATTGCAGCGTGGCCATCCCCCCTGGGGAGGGGGAGGGTGGTGATTTCTTGCTTTCTGTCTCTCTGTCTTTCTGGCGAGCACATGCGCCCTACAGTAAAAACTTCTCCAAAACAAAGAAAGAAACTGGCAAGTCCTGAAGCGCCAAGCCCTCCCGGACAGGTGGAGAACAAAGCAGGCTAATTCTCCTATGACCACGCCCAGACCCAACACTAGTCTGGACTGGAATAAACAAACACCAGGGGAAGCAACAAGGCCCTGGGGCTTTGCAGCCAATTCCAGCCTCACCCCTTTTTTCTAACCTCCCAGCTGTGGGCTGTGGGCCTAGGGACCTTGTCTCTTAGTTGAGCCGCCTCTTCAGAGGTACCCCACATGGGCGCCCTCTCAGGGCCGAAGCGAGGGTGGAAAGTGCTCACACGGTGCCAGGTACATAACAGGCTGGGCCCTCGCGGTCGTCATTATCTGCCTCTCTGGTTCTGTTTCCTCTGATCAAACGTGGGCCAAGACAGGAGAGGCTCAATGACTGGGTGCTCCTCCATTGCTTTACCTCACAAAGGTAAATGGACTCTTCGCACAGTGAGTCAGTGGCGCATAGTAGGTGCTAAATAAGTGCGTGATCACAAATGGCCTTGTCCCCTGCAGATAAACAGGACTGCCTGGGCCACCCACTCAGAGAGGGACTTGACCCGAGCTCCTTTTTTCTACATTACAGGTGGGCTCTGTACACAGTGAGGCAGGTAGCCCACAGTAGGTGCTCCATGAATGCTCATGTTTGGAGAGAAGGGACAGCCCTACTAAGCGGGGGACTGTCAGTGTGGCTGGTTGGGAAGCTGTGAGCAGAGGACATTGACATGGGGACAGAGATCTGAAGGATAGCGAGAGGCTTGAAGAAGCTCCTTTGTGCCTCTGTAGCCCGCTGCCCCGCCTCCAGGGAGCCCACCTGGAGTGGAGGGTCTCAGGGTGCCAGCCCAGCCCTCCTGTCCCTTACCTTCTGGTCCAGGGAGGGCTTTGGTCCCAGCAGCAACATTGCCATTGGCATCTCTCTGCCAGAGAGAACGGATTAAGGGGGGGCGGGGCTTGAGTGAGCGCTTGAGGAGGTGAGGTCTAGCCTCAGGGAGCCCTTCTGTGGAGTTTGCCAGGAGTCACTGAGGTTCTCAGGTGGAACCTCTGATCAATCCCACCCCAGCTGCCGAATGCCCCAAAGTCACCGCAGTTTCTCGTTTCTGCACCTCTGCCTGTGCTGTGCCCTCTGTGCAGAAGGCCGCTCCTCTGCCATCCACTTGGCAAACGTTTATCCACAACCCAGCTTGGGCAGCCACCCCTCTGGGGCTTTCCGCTGCCCCCACCCTTACAATGTGGATTGCCCTCCCCGGCGCCCTGGCCCTGCTCGCTGACAGGGTTCACTGTCTAGATGGTTCACCTGTTGGGCCCCTCCTACCTGGGAGCCCTCCACGTTTCAGGCAGGTACAGTCCTGACATCTCCCCAGCTTGCTGCCCGCTCCTCACCCCAGGGCATCCCAGGGTTAGCGCCCCCAAGGCCCGGAGCCATCTCGGGGCAGCTCTTACCTGTGGGAAGATCTTGTTCATGTCTCCGGCTCTCAGCTCCACTCTCCAGACACTGCGTGCAGAGAACTTGTGTAGGTTCCCTGCCTGGTCACCAGGGGCAGCTGGGAGGAGGGGCAGCAGGAGGCCTCACCCTGGGCCACACCTCCCTCTGTGGCAGTCCTTTCCCAACAGAGAGGGCAAGAGGGCCCTTTGCCCACTCCACGTTTTCATCCCGATTCCGCCCACTTAATATCTATTTCATTTAAGGTGGTAAGCCACAGACTCTCTCAGATCCCTCATCTGAAGAAAGGGAATAAGGGTACTTAACTTGGGCCAGCAGGTGGCAGCTGGGTCCCACACAGCTAACGTCACGGTTCAAGACCTGGACCAGGCGGCTTGAAAATCACACGGGGCCCAAGTGCGTGTATGCCCAAAATTCCAAGAGATTGGAAGAGAAGAGATTGTGGAGTGGCAACCCCCCCCCCCCAGTGGTATCTCTCTCACTTTCCCTCTCTGGCAAGCACACATGCCTTATAGCAAAACAAAGAAACAAAACATCAAATGTGAAGAGCTGTGGTTAATCTTTTTCCGATTACAGAGACGCTGATGGCTGGGACTGCTTCTTAGTCCAGGGTCCAGCACTGGACACATGCTAAGTGGACCCACAACTAGACCGATCCAGGGACCTGGGGGACCGGCTCTAGGCCGGCCTAGAGCTAAAGCCCCAGGCCCTGCCTCAGCATGGTCACTCCTCCCTATGCCTCTGCTATGTGGATTCCTGGCTGGCTGCCTCTCCTGGGATTATTATTTCCTCAGCTGTAAAATGGAGATGCTAAACCCAATCTTGCCCCCCCCTAAGGTTTTCTGTTTTTTGTTTGTTTGTTTGTTTTTTGTCTATTTATTTCTTCTGAGATAGAGAAAGAAGGGCAGAGATACCCCCAACACTCCTGGCAACAGGATTTTCATGTCTGATTCACCCCTAGGCTCAGCCTGCATGTGGATGGCTGGGGAGCTCAGGAAGGTCCCAGGACACGAACTCAGAACCTTCCATGTGGGGTCAGTCATCTTATCACTGCACCACAGCCTGGCCCTCCAGAGGGATGTTATAAAGATCCATTTAAAGTGATATGTGAGAATGCTGTAAAAGGATCTACAAATGTCACGGGAAATCAGCAAACCAACCCCACGTGAATGATCCAGGTAGACACTTTGACACGATACCATTGTAACGTTGTTCAATGCAGATGATGCCGTTTATTAAAGTTTACATACGCAAGCATTATGAAATGCGCAGCTCCAATGTGAGGTGAGAGTATCAAGAGCTTTCACGGAGACCTTTCATTTCCAATCAGTTGCAGATTCCTTTCCACCCAACCCTTCAATTATTGTTGTTTTAACATTGAAAAACAATTCAAGTATAAAAAGCACACAAAAGGCAGCAAAATAAACCCAAATAATTTATAAATAAAAATACTCCTAAAATGACAAAGTAAAATTAGACAACCTCTAAACCAGGGTTTGGTGAACTCATATGGGAAAAAAGAAGTAAATTTTTTTTAATTTAATTAATTAATTTATTTATTTTTTGGAGAGGTTTTCGCTATAGGGCGCGTGCGCTCGCCAGACAGAGAGAGACATAGAGACAGAAAGCGAGAAATCACCCCCCGGGGGGATGGTCACGCCGCAATCCCTTCTCCTCCATTCTCCTCTCGGGATCTTGGGCACACACGCACACACACCCAGCGTGAGTTTTAAGCCACCAGGTCCGGGACGCGAACCGCGGTCGACTACGTGGGAGTCCAGCGACATAGCCATTACGCTAACTGCTGGTTCCCAAGAAGTAAAATATTTTCACCAACTTCTATCTGAAATATGGCCTATCTTCCCATTACCAATGTAGGCCACAAAGCACGGTAGCATCGGCAGCCCCTGGGACGTCAGCGCCACAGAATCACAGGCATTTGGATATTTTACAGTTCCTGAAGTTATTTCAAATATTAATGTAAAATTCTTTGAAATTAGAGTAATTTTAGAACCACTAATCTCATTAACAAAGAAGTACATATATCACAAAATTTTGAAAATATTTCAATAACTGTATTAGATATCACTTTTGCACTCCATCATATTTAGTTTTATCCACTTGAAAATAGTATTTAAGATGGACTCCTTTAGCGTCACTTGATCACCAGAAAGGTCCATGGCACAATTAAGACTAAGGACCTCTGTTTTAAACAAATAAGTCATTAACATCACAGGGTGAGAGTACTTACTGAAATCGATAACCAATACTTACACATTTCAGATAGGGTAGATGAACTGTGCTCCAGAGTGTTTGTAAGAAGTCAGAGAATCCACACTAACTGTATGAGCTAGCTTTTTACAGCAGACTCTATTTCCCTCTATCTCAGGCTTTTTTTTTTTTTTTCCAGAGGTGTTCCCTTCGTGCGTTTTTTTTTTTTTTTTTTTTTTTTTTTAAAGAGAGATTTTTGCTACAGGGCATGTGTGCTTGGCGAGACAGAGATACAGGAAGCAAGAAATCACCCCCAGGGTGATGGTCACACTGCAATTCCTTCTCCTCCATTCTCCTCTCTGGATCTGGGGCACACACATACACACGACCGGCGTGAGTTTGAAGTTGCCGGGTCCAGGACTCAAACTGTGGTTGACTACGTGGGAGTCCAGTGATGTAACCATTATGCCATCTGCTAGTTCCTGTATCTCAGTCTTCATCACTGCACATATACCCCTATCCCAGGCTCTAGTTCAGGAAACAAAGATTAAAAATGTAACTCATTGGGACCAGCAGTTGGTGCAATGGCTATGTCGCTGGACTCCCATGTAGCCAACTGTGGTTTGAGTCCTGAACCCGGTGGCTTAAATTCATGCCGGGTGCATGTACGTGTGTGCCCAAGATCCTGAGAGGAGAATGGAGGGAGGAGAAGGGATTGCGGGCGTGGCCATCTCCCCTGGGGGGTAATTTCTTGCTTTCTGTCTCTCTCTGTCTCTGTCTTTCTGGCTAGTGCATGCGCCCTATAGCAAAAACCTCTCAAAAAAAAAAAAAAATGTCACTCATGCTGCTGAGGCAAATATAATGAACTTAGCAACTAGAAAGCTGTTGGGAGGGGACCCAGAGCACAGCAAGTTCATAGAGGCTGGCTGGCAAACCCATAATTGGAGGCCGATGGTGAGCTGACCTAGCATTGTGGTTTCAACATTTACCCTAACGTTTAGAAGTCTGGTAAGAGGTTTGGAATCCATGGAACAGGCAGGCTTCTGTTTGGCAACACCATGATGGAGAGCAGGACTCAGAGACCAATCCTATGCTTACCAGCCAAACAACGTGGAAAGCAAGGAAAGTCTTATGGGTAAGAGCTTAGCAATATAAGTAAATAGGGCCAGCAGATGGTGTCGTGGTTAAGGCGCGGGATCCCACACAGCCGACTCCGTGGTTCAAGTTCCCTACCCAGTGGCTTGGAAAACACACCTGGCACATGTGTGTATGTGTGCCCAAAATCCCAAGAGGAGAATGGAGAAATGACTATGGTGTGGCTATGCCCCTCAAGGGGTGATTTCTTACTCCCCTTGCTCGGGTGCGTGCACATGCCCTATGGCAAAAATCTGATCTATACACACGTATACATATGTAGAATGTAATACAATTATTGGGCATTAGAAATATGACCTTGGGGCTAAGGTATTTTTGGCCTTTAGACTTGCCTCTTCTACCTGCCTTTACTTTCTAAGACATTGTAACTCCTTTGCTTAAAATCTTCGCCCAGGCTTTCCAGTGTGCTCAGAGTCAAGTTCAGGTTTGGTCAGGTCGTCATCGCCGGGTCTGCGGAGCCCCTTCTATTGCTGTGCTTGTGTGTGCTCTCTCTCAGCCTGCGGAACAATTTGCACTTCTCCGCGCCCATGCTCCTAGGTCTTTGAGCCCTGTCCCCACCGCCAGGATCACTGCACTTTGTATTTGGCCTGGCTTTCCCTCTCCCTTAAACCTTCTCACTTTCCCTTAAACCCTCTAGTTAAGCATGGCTGTCACTTCCTCCTCCAAGTCAGGAGTCCTTCTGCGCACTCCATCTTTGTCCGGTCACAGCATTTACATTAGTAATGTTACAGCTTAGACCCTGAGCAACTGGATTCAGACGCTGGGTCTTACTGAGTTCGTTAAACCTAGCATAGCACGACATTGAAGTTCCCAAGAAGAATGGTGGTTAAACTGTGGATGTGCAATAGGATATCTAGCAAAATCACTCTCTTGGTGTGGTGCTGGTGGTAGTTATTAGAAATCTCTAGGGGCTAGGAGGTGGCGTGGTGGTTAGGGTGCTAGATTTCCACATGGCCAACTGTAGTTCAAGTTCTGGACCTGGTTGCTTGCTTTCTCACTTTCTCTCTCTGTCTCATCAAATTAAAAAATAATAATAAATAGGGGCTGGCAGGTGGTGTGGTGGATAGGGGTGCTGGACTCCACATGGCAGATCATCGTTCGAGTCCCAGACCTGATAGCTTCCTTTCTCACTGTCTCTGTCTCTCTCTCTCTTGCTCTCTCTCTCTGGTCAAATTATAATAAGTAAATAAATAAACAAGGTAAGATCAAATAAACTTAAAATAATCCTAATAATAAATAAAATGAAATAATTCTTAGGAAAAAAGAGAACTCTCTAGATGATTCCCAACGTGTGGTTCTAAGATACTTTAGAGTCCACAAAAATGGTAATGAAGCTACTTTATATATTCATATTTTTTCTTGTTTTAGAGGTTTTATTTTTGGCTTAGGGCTTGTGCACTCGCCAGAGACAGACAGAGACATGAGAGAGAAAGTGAGAAATCACTCCTCAGGGGGAATGGCCACACTGCAATCCCTTCTCCACCATTTTCCTCCTGGGATCTTGGGCACACAAACACACATGTCTGGCATGATTTTCAGGTTCAGGACTCAAAACACGGACAGCCATGTGAGAGTCTAGCGACATAACCACTATGCCACCTGCTGGCCCCGCTATTTTATATATTTAAATAATCACACTGGCCCCAAAGCCTAATTGTTAAGAGAGCCAGATTCCATATAGCCAACGGTAGTTCGAATGTCACCCCCAGTGGCTTGAAAGACACACCAGGAGCGTGTGTGCAATCCTGGCAAGACAGAGCAGTGGAGAAGGGACTGTGATGCCCATGGGGGGTGCTCTCTTCCTCTCTTTCTCTTTCTCTGGGGGACATACACACTCCTGGCGATTAAAAAATATAATGGACATGGCTCATTTATTGAAGGGGCTGGCCCCTTGGACGACTGATTGCCGTGCATTAGGAGGTAGATGCCACGTTGTTGACCACAGGCTGAATCCCAGCCCTGACAGCATGAACAACAAAGCGTGCCTGGGCATGCCTGCCTGAAACCCTGACAGGGTAGAGAACCGGAGAAACAAGGACTGCAGTGTGACCTCACCCCACGAAGGGGGCATCCTCTCTCTGTGGTAGTGCATGGGTCCTCTGCCAATAAAAAAATGAAAGAAACGGGTCATTTATCTAAGATAAAGCCAGACAAATGACAGAATAAATTGTTTGCTTTCTCTGGGATATCAGTAATGTATGAATAATGATTTTTTTAAAAAAATCCAGTATATTATTAACTACAGAAAAAAAAAAAAGAGGTTGTACGTGCTGCTCCAATGGTCTACTATAATCCTAAGGAATTTGAGACAAGACTGACAGACTAGAATCTGGTGATTTCTGATTTATCAAAAACGTATTGTAGGGATCAGCAGTTAGTGTAATGGCTATGTCGCTGGACTCCCACATAGTCGACCGTGGTTCAATCCCAGAACCAGGTGGCTTAAACTCACACCGGGCACGTGTGCATAGGTGCCCAAGATCCCAAGAGGAGAATGGAGAAGGGATTGCGGCGTGGCCATCCCCCCTGGGGGGTGATTTCTCACTTTCTGTCTCTCTGTCTCTCTCTCTCTGTCTGGTGAGCGCACACGCCCTATAGCCAAAAAAACAAATCAAAAAAATGTATCGTAGATAAAAGGTGCCCATGAAGTTTTATGAAAAGACTTGGAATCTGGTCCCAAATCATTCGTTACAGTGTTTACTGATATCTTTGTAACTGCCTGAATGAACATGTCTCCTGGCTGAGGGACTGAACACAGAACTTTGGACTCACGTAGGACCAAGAGGAGATTCTCAAGAAAATCTTTCTGTGTGGGAGGAAAGATGATACCTGTCTCATGAAATTGAGGAACTACACAAAGTTGGGCCATCCAAGCAGGACAAAACTATGACTTGAGGAGAAAGGGCCTGGAGCCTCATTTTGGTTGCTTTGGTTGGGATTTAAGATCAGAAATATCTATATGCTTATATACTTTTTTTGAGAGGTTTTTGCTATAGGGCATGCACGCTCACCAGAAAGACAGAGAGACAGAGAGAAGAAAGCTAGAAATCACCCCCAAGGGGGGATGGCAATCCCTTCTCCTCCATTCTCCTCTCGGGATCTAGAGTATGCACACACATGCGCTTGGCATGGGTTTTTCGTGTTTTTTTTTTTTTTTTTAGAGGTTTTCGCTATAGGGCGTGTGCTCTTGCCAGACAGACAGAGAGAGACATAGAGACAGAAAGCGAGAAATCGCCCCCCGGGGGGATGGTCACGCCGCAATCCCTTCTCCTCCATTCTCCTCTTGGGATCTTGGGCACGCACGCACACGTGCCCGGTGTGAGTTTTAAGCCACCGGGTCCGGGACGCGAACTGCGGTCAACTATGTGGGAGTCCAGCGACATAACCATTATGCTAACTGCTGGTTCCCACTCGGCGTGAGTTTTAAGCCACCAGGTCCAGGACGCGAACTGCGGTCGACTATGTGGGAGTCCAGCAACATAGCCATTATGCTAACTGCTGGTCCCTATATACTTTTTTGGAGAGTAACTTTTCTCTCTTTTTTTAGGAGATTTTTGGTATACGGTGTGAGCGCTTGCTGGAGAGATAGAGAGACAGAAGGTGAGAAACCACCCTGGTGACATTGCAATTCCTTTTCCACCATTCTCCTCTTAGGATGTTGGGCACGCACTGTGCATGCCCGGCGTGAGTTTAAGCTGCCGAGTCCAGGACTTGAACCATAGTCAACTACATGGGAGTCCAGTGATGTAACCATTAGACTGTCTGCTGGTCTCTTTTATCTTTTTTAAAAAAGTGAAATTGCTTTTGAAAAATGTCTGATTTACTAATGCTAAAATAAAAAGGAGGAAGAAACAAACATTCAAGGGCCTAGTAAATATCAGGAAAGACTGGGTACTGCTACACGTAAGGGATTGTCTCTTACAAATGGGAGGGGAATCATTTCTTTAAACTTGTGCCAACTCTTAGAGCAATGAAGGTGCATTTTACTCGGAAAGCAAAGAAACGAAATCAAAGGAAGGTATAAGACTGTGGGACATTGTATGGTATTTGTTCATATTGTCTTTAAGGGAGGCTGTTCCTGTGTGCTCTCTGACTTACCAGACAGTGACATTTTATGTTTCTCTCTGCTTCACTGGTACAATGTGATTAAACCTGTGCCTGATTCAAACACATGAACAGCATCGCACAGGAGCAACAATACAATGGGAATTTTCATTTTTGTCAAGGTAACTCCAATCCATTCCCCGTGTTTCATAACTATTTTCTCATAAAAATAAGAAAAGTGACAATGACTATTTCCTAATTCCTACTCTCTTCTCCTTCTGAATGTGTTCCTAGCTTCTAACCCTCTATCTTTAAAATCCAGCCAAACTATTTTAAAAACCAAAGCCTATGGGACCAGCAGATAGCATAATGGTTATCTTGCTGGACTCCCATGTAATTGACCATGGTTTGAGTCCTGGACCTGGCAGCTTAAAGCTCACGCTGGGTGTGTGTGTGTGTGCCCACAATCCTGAGACGAGAATGGGGAGAAGGGATTGTGGCGTGGCTGACCCCTTTGGGGGGTGATTTCTTGCTCTTTGTCTCTGTTTCTCTGGCAAGCATGCACACCCTATAGCAAAAAAATCTAAGGAAAAAAAAAAAAAGCGAAGCCTGCATTTTGTGACCAAATCTTACTCAAATTATCTGTTACCTGTATTTTCTTTTGACTCAGAGAATGCTGAAGACTAGGCCATAGGGTGAGTGTGCTGGGCTTATTCTTTAAATACAATACTGTAGCTGTCAACAATGCCCCTGGGATTAAGGGAAGTACTGGTTTGCAATGTTATTTAACATTTCACCATATAATAATACTGAATCCTAATTCAGGGTATAATGTTATATGATATCATTCTTATTTGTTTTAATTTTAAATTTTTTAGAGGTTTTGCCTTAGGGTGTGTGCACTTGCTGGAGGGAGAGACAGACCCAGTGGGAGATAAAGTGCCCAGTGTGATTTTCAAGCCACTAGGCCTGGGACTTGAACTGCAGTTGGGCACATGGGAGTCTGGTGATACAAGTGCTATGCCATCTGCTGGTCCCTATCATCCTTATTTTAAAATTGGTAATAGTGTAGTTTGGGATGGTAATAACACTAGTTTTTACCAAGGGAAATCTCTATTTAATTCTGCTTTATAACAATCTAATTTTCACTGTTAAAAGGAAAAGGTTTCTCTGAAATTATCTTCACCTTATACTTGATATACTATCTAATGAAGACAACAGTTCTTTGGAAAGACTCATCCAGCAAAAAACTATAGTCTGTCCAAAAGAACATAAAATATACTGCTGAGAGGATCATTTCTGCTTCAATATGTCCCTGGTCATCATATTACATAGCAACAGATAGACACAGAGCATTTCATAATTCTTTTCTGGGCTGAGGAGGGGTTGGGGGAAGACCTGGAAAATCAGATACTCGAATTTCAGCATGTAATTATTCAAATAAAATTTTAATGATTTCAGTTCAATACAACTGAAAATGTAGTGCCATTAAAGGACATTTCCTGCTAAATTTCCAATTACAGGATGTGGTCCATTTCTGAACAGAAGCATCATATTCTACTAAGTATTCAGCATAGTAAGTAAGGTAATTGACAGGATCAGTAGAAGGTAGGGGAGAACAATGATCAGCTCATAGAATTTGGCTAAAAAAAGGAAAACAAAAAGAACCAAAACAAGTAATAATTAAAGTAGCTGTAGATATTAGTAAAATACAAATACAACCCCAAATGTCCATCTCTTAAATTACTAGAAAAAAATACTGGTAAACTTACAGCAACAGTCTTCACAGATTTGAATAACTTTATTTGCATTCTATAGTGATTTCTTAAGGCCTATATCCAATGAAACCATTTTTAAAAGCTCTATGAGGAATGGAAATTTAGATGTCTATTACAGTCATCTTAAAAAAAAAGCTTAGATTTCTGAATGAGCAAGGTTCACTTTCGTAGGCAGAGGTCCTGCTTCTTCATGATCTGCACTTTTAGATCTAACAATCACGAGAGAAGAAGATGGATATCTGTTCAGCTTTTGTTCATTCATGAATTCCAAGTCACCATAGATACTCAGCTTCTGCAAAAGAAAGTCAAGGGTACGCAGATCAGTTCTTGATATGAATCACGTGAGCAACTCCCCTATCCAGGCCAACCAAAGAGACGACTTAGGAGCACTGGCTTTGGAGTCAGACTGAGTTCACATTCTCGTTCTCTCACTTACTGATACGTGACACCAGAGACATTTATAAACCCTCCTGCGGTCTCCTGACTGGACATGGTGATATAGGAGCCATCTCAGCATTACCATGCCTGGTGGATTAAGTGAGCTAACCCATGTAAAACACTTAGAACTGTGGCCAGCAGAAAGCACTCAAGATTATTCAGTGAATTTGGGGACCAGAATCGAGGAGTTGTGAATTTATAGAGGTAATTACACCTGAAGCCAGGCATTCAGTCTTCTCTGGCAATATCTATGTGTATCTTTCTTTTGCTAGGGGCATTCTAGGAGTAAGAATTAGAAATAAGGATACAAGAAGGAAGCGAACCAAGTGTCACAGGGTGTGGAATCAACAAAGATTACTGCAGGTTTATGACTTTGTTACCATGAGGACTAAAAAATTATTTTTTCCTCCTATGGGCAAGAGATAGGAAGACAGAATCCCAACAGGGTCTTGAAGCTGCAATCCACCCCTAGCCTCAGCCAGCCTGGATCATGGGTACGGGTGATCACAGGGAGGTCTCTGGACATGAACCGGGAACCCTTCTAAGTGGGTCAGCCTCACAGCCTCACATTTTACCACTGTGCCACCATCTGCATGAAGTAGCTCAAAGGGAGCAGAAGGAAAAAGCCTTCTGTGAGATGCATAATTTTTGCTTAATCAGGAATAAACATTTTAAAATATGGACTTCAGAGAACACAAGTTGGTAATGTAGCAAGAGGATGTTACTAGTACATTTATATCCTAAACAAACAAGTTGTACAGAAATTTACCTGTTCTGCATAACTTCCACAATTTAAGATTCTTTACAATCCCATTCAATTTTATCTATTTAATTTATTAATGCAAGCTCTTTTAATCAAGTTGGTTCTTTACAGCCCTGCCCAATAGTTAGCTTATTCTTGTGTCTGCATCTGGGAAGACTGCTCACCCTCTTTTCTGCTAATCCACACCTTCCTACCCATTCTTCAGATTTCAGGTCTAGACCTCTATTACCTAAAATCCTTATCTGACAATCCCAGCATACTGTCTCTGTTTTCCTTTAGACACAACTATTATTTGTACCACTTAAGCTTCTTATCAAGCCAAAGGCAAGATGGTATACAGGAAAAAACACAAGTGTTGTCAGTCTAAAGACATGAGCTTAATCCAGCCTCAATACTTTCAGCTATTTAACCTCAAGAAGGTCACCTAAATTTTGTAAGCCAATTCATCAACAAAATGCAAAACAAAGCTGCTCAAGGGCTGGTTCCCTGGCCTGGTGGTTAAGGCAGATTTCTTGCTGTCTCTCTGGTGAGCACATTTGTCCTAGAGCAAAAATCTCTCTCAAAAATCAATCAGTCAGGGCCAGCGGGTGGCGTGGTGGTTAAGGGCAGTGGATTCCCAGCAAGAGGATGTTACTAGTACATTTATATCCTAAACAAACAAGTTGTACAGAAATTTACCTGTTCTGCATAACTTCCACAATTTAAGATTCTTTACAATCCCATTCAATTTTATCTATTTAATTTATTAATGCAAGCTCTTTTAATCAAGTTGGTTCTTTACAGCCCTGCCCAATAGTTAGCTTATTCTTGTGTCTGCATCTGGGAAGACTGCTCACCCTCTTTTCTGCTAATCCACACCTTCCTACCCATTCTTCAGATTTCAGGTCTAGACCTCTATTACCTAAAATCCTTATCTGACAATCCCAGCATACTGTCTCTGTTTTCCTTTAGACACAACTATTATTTGTACCACTTAAGCTTCTTATCAAGCCAAAGGCAAGATGGTATACAGGAAAAAACACAAGTGTTGTCAGTCTAAAGACATGAGCTTAATCCAGCCTCAATACTTTCAGCTATTTAACCTCAAGAAGGTCACCTAAATTTTGTAAGCCAATTCATCAACAAAATGCAAAACAAAGCTGCTCAAGGGCTGGTTCCCTGGCCTGGTGGTTAAGGCAGATTTCTTGCTGTCTCTCTGGTGAGCACATTTGTCCTAGAGCAAAAATCTCTCTCAAAAATCAATCAGTCAGGGCCAGCGGGTGGCGTGGTGGTTAAGGGCAGTGGACTCCCACATGGTCGACCACGGTTCAAGTCCTGGAGCTGGCGGCTTGCTTTCTTACTTTCCCTCTTTCTCTTACTCTCTCCCTCTCTGGTCAAATAAATAAATAAAGTTAAATAAAATAAGTCTCTAAAAAAAAATTCAATCAATCAATCTAAATTGAATCATCAGATTATAGCCTTTTCCCCAAACAAAAATTTCTTACCTTAATAGTTACATTACTTGAGCCAGTAAAATTCTAATTACCAAGGAAGTCACAATGGTCTTCTATCTCATTCAGGGTTAAATACCAGAACCCAGTACTTCCAAATTGGGCAATCCCATCTTGCTGCTTCTAAAGCAGCAATTACTCCTGAACATCTCAAAACTTCAGTGATACTACAAGTCTTTTCTCCTAAATAATACCTTAGAAACTGATGCCAACAGGTTTTTTTCAGTCTTGAGAACTAGAGAGAAACACTTCACTCAAATCAGTCAAATATATATTTCACTATGGTAGTTAGCACCACAGAAAACGGGGACCAGCAATTCTTAAGTTGCAAAACTTAATTTCATGTATGTCAACCTTGATCAGATTAAAACCACCAAATATTCCATTCTATTAGTAGAGAGACTTTGTTTTTCTTCTGGCATTTTAAACAGTGTATCACATGGCTCCAGTCTTCAAATCACCACTTTGGCAGAAGTAATTTACCTCAGAGGGAACGTACTGCTCCACAGCTGTAGCAACAGTCGCACAACAGATCCAGAGCAACACCATCACTGAGAGCACTAGGGTTGTGGTTAAGATCCACCCAGAGTTACTGAACAACAACAAATCAACAGTCGGTCATATTAAAATTTCATAAGAAAAGATTCTTTATAATTAAAAGTAATCAGCCTATGTACTTAGCTTAATTATACAATTAAAAATTGTGTACTATCTTTAAAACTAATAAAATTACTTATACAAGAAAATAAGACAGTATTATATAAGGGTGACATGATGTCCTTTCCTCAACTCTAAAGTTTCTGTAACATGGCTATGTTAATTTCATAATAGTAAGACAGACTTTCTGCATAAATATACAAAATTAAACCAATTATTGTCAGAATATTTCCTAATTACTAAACAAGATAAGGTAAATGGAAGTCTCCTATATATCGTACACTGTTAGACAAATGTCATGTATTATTTTGCAAGGTATTACGATGACACTTTAAAAAAACATTATCATTAAAGCTAAAGTAGAGAATATATTATGAAAATAATAACTTGCTTCATAAAATGATTAAAATAAGCTCCTCAAGGTCAGCTTCCCTAGAACATTTCAAATACTTAATTTCCCACCATTTACTTACACTTCAATTTAAAAGAGCACATCTATTATGAGGCATTCTGCAACCATTACAGCATATCTTAATAAAGAGAGAGTTATTTTCCTTAGGATTAAAATATCTTAAGGTAGAAGGCCAGTTATGAAAATCAGCAACTGGAGTATTTTTTCATAATTGACCTATTAAGAGTCAAAGAACAGGAAAAAGTCAAGCTATGTATAATATTTAAGAGTCTAATTCTGAAAAGCTGTGTAATACAGGTAGTCCCTAATTTTCACATTTCTGCTCATCAAACACTGCCTAAGAAAAGATCTACACTTCCCACCATAACCCATTCACTCGATGGCTTCCCAACACTTGCACATGCTAAAGAAATGGTAAATACAGTCACTGTCTCCCAGAAAAAGACATGGATCTGGGAATGCATTCCAACTAAAAGCAGAGATGTTTTGTTTTAACTATTCCAATTTAGAAAGGTAATAGAATAAAAAGTATTTTTAATGAAAAAACACCCACTTTTCCTCTACATGTTCTAGCCCTAACCTGAGTACTAAGGGATTTATTTTTATGAAATGAGAAGGCTATAGTTGATACTTAGATTCCAGTAGCAACTAGTGAAGCAGAAAAGTGGGGCTTATCTTACAGTCCATCATCTTCCTCAATCTTCTAGCAAAACAATTACTGTTAGTGGATGCCACAGATTCGCAACTATCTCCTTCAGCTCCTGTTTGCCTTGTCTACTGCCCTAGCTCAGGCTTCATAATTTGCCTTATTTACTATTGAAGCTCTCCAACCTGGTCCTCTAATCCATCCTTTGCATACAAGGAGTGAGTGCCGAAAAAATGGAATTAAAGAATAACTTCACTTTGGTGCAAAAAACAAAAAATGTGAAATTTGTGCAGTTTTGTCTATGAGATACATTTTTCATGAGACTTCTGGAGACCCCTTACAGAGGCCTCTTCCTAATACTTACATTTGATCACTTCTGCTCCTTTCTTATCCCTGTCTATCTGGTTGGGTCGGATTTCTGATTCTCCTAACCCCCCGCCCCCTTACATTGTGATATACTTTTATATATCCAGCAGGAAGCCAGTATATCTGAAAAAATATTTTGACAATTTTGCTACAAGTAGCAAAAATCCACTTGTCATTGAAGACTTATTGTATCTCCTCCGTAAAAAACCTCTTAGAGTCTAGGGATACTCCTTGTACCCAGTAAGAGATAGATGTTGAACTGGTGTGGGTCTGTGTGCAGCCATCGTTACTGTGATGATAATTATCTCCATGTCTGTACAGACCTGAGACTACATAGAGACAGTCTGACCATTGTTATACTAACAGTAGAGTTAGAGATTTATTCCTTAGGTATTTTTGCACACAAACATGAATTGTTATTACATACTATTATCTAATATACTGCTATAACAGTACCCTATATTTGAATAAAGTGTTTTTTAAATGCTTTCTCTCCTTAGTAATTTCATTTGACTTTTAGAACAATATCCTGTGATAAGTAGGCAGACTAAAGAGGTGAATCAACTATTACTGAGACTTAACATCTTTTCTAGGTCTCAAGTCTCTAGTACAGTGCCTAATACACAATACTCTCTCCAAAAAGAGAGAGACCTCAATTTCCACTCTGGATAAGGCTGTCTCCCTAACACCTAGGTGATACAATAAAGAAGTATGGTAGTAAGAGTCAGAAGACCAGATCCCACTCATTAACTGGCTGGCTGATCTTGTATATTATCAAGAAAAAAAAAAATGACACTTTAACGTGGTGGTTAAGACACACATGGCCCACAACAGTTCAAGTTCCAGACCATGTAGCTTGCTTTCTCTCTTTTTTTCTCTGGTGAGTACACTTGTCTTGCAGCAAAATTAATAATAATAAATAAAATAAAATAAAAATTTCTTTAAAAAAAGAAAAAAGAAGCAGGCAGCTATGGCAGAATACAATGAACAGAAGACGTTGAATTAGAAAAACTAGGTTTGAATTTTAACATAATAGCTGTAAAATTTCGGGGTAACTGATTTACCTCTCTGAACTGTGCATCAATATTTTACACAGGACACTGTTCTAAGAGTCAAGTGAAATCACTGAGAGGGAAA